AGTGTGTAGCAGCTGCTTAAAAAGCCCACACAGTTCTAGGCTACATAAACAGAGGGATAGAATCAACATCACGTGAAGTGTTAATACCACTTTATAATGCCTTGATAAGGCCACACTTGGAATACTGCATCCAGTTTCGGTTGCCTCAATGTAAAAAAGATGTGCAGATTCTAGAAAGAGTGCAAAGAAGAGCAACAAAGATGATTAGGGCACTGGAGGCTAAAACATATGAAGAATGGCTGCAGGAACTGGGTATGTGTAGATTAATGAAAATAAGGACTATGGGTGACATGATTGCAGTGTTCCAATATCTCAGAAAGATATTGGATCTCAGCCACAAAGAAGAGAGAGTGAAGCTATTCTCAAAAGCTCCTGAGGGCAGGACAAGAAGCAATGGGTGGAAACTAATCAAGGAGAGATGCAACTTAGAACTAAGGAGAAATTTTTTGACAATTAGAACAATTAATCAGTGAAACCACTTGCCGTATTTTTTGAAGTATAAGGTGTGGCTTTTTTCTCCCTAAAAATGGGTTTTAGGTTCATGTTACAGACCAAATACGGGGTCCCCCCCCCCCGCACCCTCCGCATGTTGCATTTTTGTCGTTCCCTGGCATCCAAAAGCACTTTGTAGTGCTCTGCACATCCCATTTTTTCCAAAAACAGGCCTATTTTGGGGTTTCCAAACCCTCTGCGCATTGTGTTTTCTCCCTCTCAGGCCCCCAGAAGCACTCTGCAGGCCAAAAACAGGAACGTTTTTGGTGAAAATGGGCCATGTGGAACACTGCAGAGTGCTTCTGCAGGCCAGGGAGGGAAAAAACGCGACATGGGGAGGACGAACACTTTCTTCTTGTTTTCCTCCGTAAATATAGGTGTGTCCTATAGTCCAGTGTGTCTTATAGTCCAAAATCAGTGGAACAACTTGTCTCAGAAGTTGTGACTGTTCCAACACTGGATGTTTTTAAGAAGATGTTGGATAATCATTTATCTGAAGTAGTGTAGGGTTTTTGCCTAAGCAGGGGATTGGACTACAAGCCTTCAAGGTCCCTTCCAACTCTGTTATTCTGCTTTCTGCCACGGTCTATTAAGAGCTTAAAAGCATCAAAAGGTTCTCATTGTTGCAAGGTATCAGTGAGGAGAAGGGTACAAAAAAAATTTCAAGACGTTGGATATACCATGGAACCTAGTAAAGACAGTCATCAACAAGTGGAGAAAATATGACACCCGAATGACATTACCAAGAACTGACATCCCTCCATAATTAATCAAAAAACAGGGATTAAATTGATCTGAGGGGCTGCAAGAGATCTACAGCAACATTAGTTTTTGGCAAGTACTGATTATGTACTACGTGACAACAATCTCCCATATTCTTCATATGTCTGGGCTGTGGGATACTGTAGAAACACAGAAGCCTTCTTTTACAAAGAAAAGCATCCAAGTACAGCTACTTTTTGTAAAAACCTGAGTCAAGCCTGACAAAAGTATGTGAAAAATGTGTTAGGATCTGAGTGCATAGGTTGAACTTTTTGGCCATAATTTGAGAAAAACTGTGTTTCTCACCAAAACAATACTGTGTATCACCAAAAATACACCATACTCACAGTGAAGCATGGTGATGGCAGCATTATGTTTTGAGGCTGCTTTTCTTCAGTTGGAATTGGAGTTTAATCAAGCTGGAAGGAATTATGAACAGTTCCAAATACCAGTCAATTTTGACACAAAACCTTCAGGCTTTAGCCTTCAAGCTAAAATGCTGGAGATGAAGCATAATTTCACCTTTCAACAAAAGCATATATCCAAATCAACAAAATAATGGTTTATCAGAATAAGATCAAAGTTTTAGAAAGGCCCAACTCAGACCTGAATCCAATTGAAAACCTGAAGAGGGTTATGCACAGGAGATGCCTTTGCAATCTGACAGATTGCAAAAGAACAAGGAAGAGTAGGCAAAGCTTTCCAAGGCACTTTGTGCTACATTGATATACTCTTACCTCAAAAATCTGGATGCTGTCATAAAGTCAAAAATGGCTTCAATAAAGTATTAGTTTAATACACTTATGCAGCCACATTATTCTAGTTTTTTATTGTTATTTTCTCCTCTAAAAGATTTCAGTTTGTTTTTTAGTTGAATTATACCGCTTATATGTTATTTTAAAGATGGAAAAAGTTAAATGATCTATCTTTATATATCTCAAAAACCTAGCATTTTAATTGTGGTAGGTGGACTTTCTATATCCACTGTAAGTAATAAGAATTGTATTTATTGCAATGTTCAGTTGCTTTGAAAAAAAAATCCATCCTTCGATATACATTGAAATAGAATAAATGTAGTCCAATTATTGCTTTATTTTGAATTTGGAAGTATAGCATAGAAATGAGAAAGGCATGATCTAAAAACTTCAAGTTTAGGAAAAGGTGGCCTCCTGAACCAACAACAAGAAAAGTACCATTTTGAATTTTTCCTTCTGACTTCAAAGGAAAAACAATACTGGATAAAATCCCAGGGACCATAAAATTGTTTCCTAATCCTAATTATACTTCTTAAGAAAAAAAAGTTTTAATCAAAAATAAAAAGGCAAGTTCCTTTTCCTCACAACTTATAGGTTCAGCAGCTCTCCAAAAAGGAAATAGAGGATCTTTTGAGGAAAGGAGCTTATGGTGCTTTAATGGATGAAGAAGATGAAGGATCCAAATTTTGTGAAGAGGATATAGATCAAATTCTTCTGAGACGAACACACACAATCACAATTGAGTCTGAGGGAAAAGGCTCCACATTTGCAAAGGTCAGTAAAAAATTAATTTTCTAAATTAATCAGAATCATGCATGAATGATCTTTCCCATAAATAATCCTAGAAAATAGATTTATCTTTGAATTGCATTGTAGCAGACACTCAAATAATGTTGTTCCAAATCAGAATCTAAGTAGTCTATTCGCTGAATCTGTACAAATATGCAAATTGAAACATGAATATAATTTGAAAGCAATTTCCCTTCTATAGAAAAAAATGGATACTTTATAAGAAAGCCCTATAGAATCTATAAAATATCTGGAATATCAAATTTCATACTTTAAAACAAACCTCAATGTCTGTTCAATGTATAAATAAGTTGTTTTAGAGAACCTGTATCTCAACTGAGATTGCTCAATGGGGAGTATTCAGGTGAGTTCAAAGTATTATATTTTGCATTTTTAAAACAGTGGATTTTTAAAATCCACTGATATGGAGAACTACATAGTAGTGATACACTTCGTGTGGAATATTTATTAGGATGTTTTGTACAGTACTTAAGGGGAAATAATTTATTTCACTTATTCCAATGAATGCTCCCCATCACTAGTTTTAGAAGAAGGGTGCAGTCATTTGGAAAGTAAAATACGATTTTTAAAGGACTCATTTGACCCTTTGTGCTCCAACCATGTGATACTGCAGCAGATAATAAAGAATGTTCTTTTGTCACAACACTTTCACCCAGAGAATGCTCCTTTTTACTTCAAATGACATTTTGCATCTTAATAATATTTATATGTTTAAAAGGCAGATGTTTAGTTATTTCATTTGTTTCTAGCAGACAGGGATTTGTCATTGTTCTCATCTTGAAGATACTGCTGAATGAAAGCAGTAGTGTTGTACAGCTAGTCTAGCAGTACATAAAGCATTAAAAGTTGACATGTATTGAGTCCTATAACCCAATAAACATTTCTGGTAAAATCAGATTTTTAAAAGTATTCCATGCACCTTTGGTCACTCTCTTTCTTTTTGGATCTTTGATGATTCAGAATTATCTATTTTTATTTATCTTTCTATTTTTATTTCTGTAGATATTCAAACTCTGTCGAATAAACATGAAATAATTTTCATTGCATAAGTTGTGTATATTGCAGCCTTTAATCAAACTATTATATTGTTTTGTTTTAGGCTAGTTTTGTTGCATCTGGTAACAGAACAGATATTTCTTTAGATGATCCTAATTTCTGGCAGAAATGGGCAAAAAAAGCTGAGCTTGATATTGAAGCCTTAAATGGAAGGGTGAGGAATTTAAACTTAACTGTTCTATTTAATTTGCTAAAATTCATTTATTATTACTTGTTAAACAGAAATATTTTTTATTTTTGTTATAGAACAATCTAGTTATTGATACTCCAAGAATAAGAAAGCAAACTAGATTATACAGTGCAGTCAAAGAAGATGAACTGATGGAATTTTCAGACCTTGAAAGTGATGCTGAAGAAAAACCTAGCATAAAACTTCGTAGGCCACAGGACAAATCCCAGGGATATGCAAGGAGTGAATGCTTTAGAGTAGAAAAAAATCTGTTAGTCTATGGGTAAGTAAAATAAACTGGAAAACAAAACTGTATTCAAGGTTTTATATTATTTGATCCTTTCTACTTATATAGGGTTGTCGCTTATTGCACAGAGATTGCAAATGGAAGTCTCCCGTGATATAATAGATGTCATTTCTTGGAATACATTATTTTCCTTGACAGTGAACTGGAGGAACTTGGCTTGCTTGCATTATTCCGAATTGTTATATTCTTCCATTTCCCGTTCATTTACCCATTCATACCAACACATCATTTCTAAACAAAATTCATTGTTAAAAATCATTCTAAAGTGAAAAATAATTCACGTTAGAAAATTATTTACAAAAAGTAAAAAAGTATAAATGGCAATTATGATTATGCAACTTGGTAGAATCTCTAGAAAAACAAGACTATAAACAGCTAAAATAATAATGATACATATTAATTAGGAAATAGCACAGATTTAATTAGCAGACTAGGTAAACTGGTACATTTTAGTTAATTCTATAAACTGACAAGATTCAGGGCCAATCATATTTGAACAAAGAGGGAATTCTGTTAATGGGAACTTGTCTTGATAATATTCTTTCTCTGGTAAGCAGATCATTGTCAGAGAGCACATTGAAAAAGTGTCTGTACTAAATCATAGTTGAGAGACATATAGTATATTTAAGGTAGCAGTTGCCACATACACTTTGTATTTTATTACAATGATATTTGATGTACCTTCTGAACATATGTTTGTGATAACAAACACATATGTTTGTGATAATCAAACTTCAGTCAGTTTTGGAGTGAGTTCAAATATCTTGTTTTCTTCCAACAACACATGTAGCTATGTATTTACCATCTTTTCAAGGATAGATTATTGACTGGATGAACAGATTAATAACCAAATGATTCAGAGTGGGCTTCTTAAAGTGGAAGTGTGCAAACATACATCTCAAGTTAGCTAATTCCAAACTTTTACAGAAGTGCATTTACTGATTCCAACCACTTATTCTTACTCAGTTGATTCAGATCAGACATGAAGGAAAGGAATTGGGAAGGCATATGATGGAAGGCATTGATTTAGGCATTTTGTTCAACCACAGTGTCTGGGTCAAAATATAAAAGAATAATTTTATCTTGTAAGTGCCCTTGTCAGTGTACTTGTAGTCTCCAAGAGTCTCTGGCAATATAATTTAAAAGTCCACTAACAACACAATATTATTTTGCTAGATGATTAGAGATGAGAATATGGCATGATGGCTATAAAGAAACTCTTTTTCATTACCTTTACTGCTTCATGTTAGCACAATGAATTTATCTTCAGATTTGATTTTCACTATTTGTGCTCCAGCCATTTTGGGATGTTTCATTGCCCATAGGCCTTCTGAAGTCCAAAAAGCTTTCCAGACTTTACATTGGCAGGGTTGTTAAGAGTAATTTAGTCAGTGATCCATTTAATCACACTATTAATATTCAAGTTAGGGTCTCAGCAGAATTGCCAGCCTTGTCACCAAGGCATTCAGGAATCTTTAACATTACATAATTATCCCAAATTCAATGATCCTAATGGATCCCCCACTCTATAGGGAGATTTTAAAAAAGCTGGCAGTTCTAATCTTGTCAGGAAATGCTTAAGCATGGCAAAAAGTGGATGGCAACTCCCTTCACTTATAGGCCATTTTCTTCCTATTCAGATGCAACAAGATGAAGAATATGTTCTGTTTCCTAACTTGCAGTCAATGATCCATTAAGACAGTCCCATGGTTTACAATAGAATTCTGCACATCACAAGCCAGGAATCAAAAGAGAGCCCTGAAATTAGTGTTAAAATTCCCATGGAATTTTTGTTGGCTTCTCTACTATCAGAAATCACCATGACTAATTTAAGAAATAGTGAAATGGTCAATACACAAACATTCCCCTTTCTATAGCCTAATACTAGGACACACCCTCTAAAACCAGCAACAGAGCTGAATGGCCTGCTGGTAGATTTCAAAGATCATCTGTGGATCCCAATCATCCCCCCCCCCCCCATTTATGCTTGTATCCCCAAGATAGGCAGTGCTGGATCGAACCAACCCTTTCTGGTCTCATTAATGCACCCAAGCAAGCTCTCTTTTGTGCATCATTTTGGGTTGATCTGGCATTCACTAATAGCAATAGCAATAGCAATAGCAGTAGACTTATATACCGCTTCATAGGCCTTTCAGGCCTCTCTAAGCGGTTTACAGAGAGTCAGCATATTGCCCCCACCTCGGAAGGATGGAAGGCTGAGTCAACCCTGAGCCGGTGAGATTTGAACCGCTGACCTGCTGATCTAGCAGTAGCCTGCAGTGCTGCATTTAACCACTGCGCCACCTTGGCTCTTCCTAACTAACAGCGCTGCCAGACTAAAAGATAAGCTGACAGGCAACTGTATTCTGGAAAATGGGAGAGAAACACACTAATAGCACATTTCAACCAATATGCATAGTGCAAAACACCAGTCCTTCCCATCATAGTTTAGATTGTATAGCTCCATTTCTTCTCCACCCATCTCTCCAGATAAATTCATTATCAAAGAGTTGCAATAGATATGGTAACCTTTCTGCAAACATCATACACAGTATCTCCTTCTACAACCTGGCATCTAATATACATGTTTAGGCTGCGACTCTTACGATTTTGTCAGTGGTAACATTGAGGAAACTATTGTTAAAACCTAGATTTTCTTTCAAGCCATTTAGAAAATCCAATGATTAAAAATATAGTTGCATAACCACAATTGTTATCTAATCACGTACTAGAAATTCTTAAGCTCATTAACAAAAGTAGTTTTCCATTTTTAAAAGAAACCTGCTTCTGTTACCATCATTCCAAGATCTTGCACCATGTAATCCTTAATTTATTGTCATGGTTGGACCTGGAATTTTGATCATCAAATTGGCCACCCATGACCTGGTTTGATTTTATGGCTATTTTTCAGTAAAGAGAGTTATAACTATTGTTAAGCAAACCAGATGGTCATTAAAGGAAACCAGCATCTACAATTGGTACTTTCTGCCAGTTTTTGTCAGAAAATGGCAAAACCCAGCACAAATTATGGTCACATGACTATAGGATGCCATAACTGGTTGTAAATGTGAGCAGGTTGCCAAGCATGTGACATAAGATCATGTGACTGCTGGGGGGCAGTATGGCATTTTACAATGGTCAGAAGTATTTTACAGGCTGCAAAGCATCCATTCTGAAGCCATCATAACTTCAAGCGTTTGCTAAGCAATGGTAATTAAGCAACAATTATCTATAAACAAAAAAACCTACAACACAGAGCTGTGGTGGCGCAGTGGTTAGAGTGCAGTACTGCAGCTACCTCTGCTGATTGCCAATTGACTGCAATTTGGCAGTTCGAACCTCACCAGGCTCAAGGTTGACTTCCATCCTTCCGAGTCAGTAAAATGAGGACCCAGATTGTTGGGGCAATATGCTGACTTTGTAAACTGCTTAGAGAGGGTTGTGAAGCACTGTGAAGCGGTGTATAAGTCTAAGTGCTATTGTTATTATGTTAGAAGTGTTTATGATAGGAATGGATGTAGTTAAAATATTACATTTTGTGCAACATTTATTTTATAGTTAACTAATATTTATGAAAAATTGATAATTTTTAAATTAAAGTTATGCTCCCATCTTTCATTATATTATTGAATTTAGCAAAATTGCCTTAGTGAATGATTCTAAGATGGTATTAAATATCTCTGTCTTAGGTTTTGTTCCTGTGAAGAGCTAGTACAAATAGAGTAATACAGACATGAATTCAAATTCATGAAATTGGTCTGGGTTATGTACTCCTATTCAGAATTTATGAGATCCATTTACATTAAACACGTGCATTTTATTTTTTCCACTATAATAAAATATTAATTAGTTGCTGTTTGCTTAGTAAAATAACTTACATTCACAAAATACATATGTACATATTTTAATATAAAACTTCTGCAGTACAAGTAGTCCTTGACTTATGACTGCAATTGAGCCCAGAATTATGGTTGTCTGTTATGACAGTTGTTAAGTGAGACACCCACATGATCGCCTTGCTTAATTACGATAATCCCTGCTCTCTTAATTGCTGCCATTAAATAGAGCATGGGATGCCTTAGAGTGGGAGAGAAGGTCTAGAAGGCCTGGCTCAGGCGCAGCATCTTATTAGGGCATACATAGCCTGTCCTAGCCTCTCCTGCACTGAGGCTTTCTGCTTCCCACCCTGCTGGGACCCTCACCCTTAGGTCTCTCCACCTCCCCCCATCATGGTTTGGTCTATTTAACCTTTTTTGAAGATTGTGTTTGGAAAAGAAAAGTGGCCATAAGCGTTGGCAGAGTGCCTGAATTTCATTCACATAACTGCAGGAGTGCTGTAGTTGCTATAACTTTGGGTATATGTCTAAGTCCCTTCATTCAGTGTCATTGTAAATTTTTAACAGTTGCTGAACAGATAGTTGTATGTTAAGGCTACTTGTAATGCCAAAATGTAATTTACTTTTTTTTAATATAGTTGGGGACGATGGACTGATATCCTTTTACATGGACGTTATAAGCGCCAGCTAACTGAGCAAGATGTGGAAACTATTTGCCGAACTATCCTTGTATATTGTCTCAATCATTATAAAGGGGATGAGAATATCAAAAGTTTTGTCTGGGATTTGATTACTCCAACGGCAGATGGACAAACTCGGGCCTTAGTTAATCATTCTGGTATGTTATCTGCTTCTTATCTCATATCAAGTGCAATTGAAGCCATAAAACATTTCTTTAAATCCATTGAGCAGTATTATGTGATCTTTAACAAAGCAAGTATAGACTGTACTTTTATGTGAAATGTCTTTCAGTGTTATTGTTGTTAATCTTACTCTGTGTCACTGGGAATTACACGTTAGTGTCTTCATCTGATATTTTAATGCTAAAAGTCCCTCTCAAAAATTTATCTTGGCCATTTCTATAATGAGTATGTAAAACTTCAGAGATATCACTGTTCTTTTGTAAGTTAAATTTGGGAAACTAACTAGCATTATTAATTAATTAATATGTCTAGTTCATTACAGAAAAAAACAGTAAGTGGAGCCAATTTTTTTGTCACTAAGCAATGCAATTGTAAAGCATAACATCATGTGACCACACCACTTAACGAAGGAAATTCTGGTACTTCCAGTTGGTGTAGTTAAGCATATCCCATGACATTGTTAAGCACAATGTCATATAGTCACCATTTGTGACCTGCCAGTTTCCCCATTGACCTTGCTTTTGGAAAACTGGCAAATGCAATCACATAGCACTGGTCACTGAATACCAGATCTCAATCATATGACTGCAGATATGTTGTGACAGCCATAGGTTCAAGGACTGGTTGTAAGTAGCACTTATTCAATGCTATTATAAGTTTGAAAAGTCACTCATTGAGTGGTTATTAAGCAAGGGTTATCTGTACTCTGGATGGCAATGGCTCTTAAGATATGCATATAGAATCTTTCCTGGTTGTATAAGTAGACGCTAAAGTTCAAAGTTAAGAACCTTTCTATGCAAAAAAAAAGATGCTCTGCAATTGAGTTGTTACTGCAATATTTTCATCCAGTTAATAAATGTAATCCTTGTGATTACATATACTTTGTTGGAAAAATATGTGAAGTTTCAAATTTATTAATTGATGGACCTCTTTTAGAAGCTTCAGCCAAATACTTCCTGCATTTGTTATTCAATCCTATATATCAGCTTAGAGGTATTTTGGCCACTCCTCTTATTGAACGGCTTCATCTAATTTTTGGACTGCCTTACATAAATTGCTCATTAAAGTTATGCCCCAATAGTTCAATTTGGCAAAGATTAAAACTTTGATTTGGCCATTCTAAAAATGAAATTAGTTCTTCTTCTGCTTTTCTGTTATAGTTTTACCTGTGTATTTAGCATTATTGTCCTTTATGACCTACATCCATTTAAGATTCAACTCATGGACAATTACTGACATTATAATGCATAGTATAAAGCCATAGTCCATTGTCCTCTCAGTTATAGTGAGCAAGCTGAGGCCAGAATTTGCAAAAGGATCTCAAACTATGATATTTCCACCATGATGCTTCATGGTGAGGTTCTTTTGTTAGAATGAAGTATTTTCTCTAAAATGAACTATTGGAATAAACTGCTGGATCATTTAGCTTTTTAAAATATATGTTTGAGTTTGATGCTATATGCCTTTATGAGAAAAGCGGTTTCATCCATTATACCTTTATATGCATACTACTTTTCTTAAATATTTACCTAATGGTAGACTGATAAATACTGATATGAGATATGGTTGTCTGAGCAGACTTTGACTGTGACCATTAAATACAAAAACATTTAATAGGGAATGAGTTCTCCAATTCATATTTGATGCTCATCTCATTTACTGGAACATATAAGTTGACCTCCCCCATTAAAAGATTTGATTATCCTTGAATATCACAAACGTTTTCCAACAAAGACAGTAAATATTGACTCAGTACTGTATATTCAGTAATAACATAACACCATACAGTTAATCAAGAAGCTTGTTAAAGAGAGATCCAACTTGGAACTATGGATAAATTTCCTAACAATGAGAATAATTAACCAGGGGAACAGCTTGTCTGCCAGAGTTCTTGGTGCTCCATTGCTGACGGTTTTCAAGAGAAAATTGGACAATCATTTGTGCAGGATGGTATAAGGTTTCCTGCCTTGGGCATGAGATTGGACTTGAAAACCTCCAAGTTCCCTTCCAGCTGTACAATTCTATGATTGTTTATTTAATCATAATCTCTCAGATAATTCTAAAGGGTTCACAAATTTTCTTTTACCACTGGTAAAAGACTGGTTTACCACTGCATAAAAATCCTCAACGTCAGAATCCTCAATGTAATCTTTTCCCTATAAAATGCTGTTTTGTTTTAATTGCAAATGATTAAAATTGCTGCTTAGCTACGTATATACTCCCCTTGTGCATTAAATAAGCTTTTTGTACCAGCATATGTTGCACAGTTTAGCATTTGCTTCTGTGTGGGAGAAGGTGACTGGATTGTTCTAAGTGAGCAGTTTGTTTCAGAGTTGCTGAAAGTCTATAACATTATTTTAAGTTCATTGGCAAAATAATGGGATGTAAACATTGAGCATGATCCAGCCACAGTGAAACATTATTACATCCTATCATCTCTTATGTCATGCTAATGGAACTGAAATATTTTTAACTTTGGCACATATTTAGCTAATGTATAAAATTCTACAATATTTTTAAATTACATATATGTAGAATATGCTGTAACATGTTTGTGTTATTCTGCACCTTTCATAATTTGCAACACATAATATGCTATTCAGAAACTGAGTTAAACAGGATTAACACCCAGGTAAGTGCATAGGATTTTAAGCAGAGTGCATACAAGGGTAAATTTGTACAATAGCATTCTGTGGTTTTCTAATTGTTTTCAATTACTGCATGGTGTCTTTAACTATGATATTGTCATCATGGAATGGAGTAGTGTAAAGTCCAACCTAGTTTTCTAGAAGTCCATACCATAATGATAAAGCGCTGTGAGAAAGTGATTTCACAGGCAGATGGCCTCCTTTGACATGGTGTCAGAGTTAATGCTGAAAAACCATGCATGTGTACATTTCTTAGGCTTGTCTGCTCCAGTGCCCCGGGGGAGAAAAGGCAAAAAAGTAAAAGCTCAGAGTTCACAACCAGTGCTTCAGAATGCTGACTGGCTAACCAGCTGTAATCCAGATGCCTTGTTTCAGGAGGACAGCTATAAGAAACATCTCAAACATCACTGTAATAAGTAAGTGAATCCATTAAATTAATTTGACCCATTTTGACTTGAACTTCAATGTTTAATGGAACTCAAAATCTAGGACCATAATATAAGGATAATCTTTAAATTATGCTTCATCATTGTCACTGTTTAATAGTATAGACCCATACACATTCTTACTTTGGTTAATGCTTAACATTTTACTGATTATTGATTACTGTTTGTCTTCTCAATGTGGTTAATTTAAGTTGCTGTCAGTATTTAAAATGTGGTTGGTCTTAGTTCATTGAATTATTGGAACTTATTTTTTTCATGAGCCTCATGTGTATTTCATCCTTACATGCTATTCAAATAAAGTGTTAAATTATATGACATGTTCTATGGCCATTATGAGGTGGGATAAGGAACAGGCTGTAACTTTAATCATATTTATTTTGAAATTATCCCTGTTGGAAATCTTGCGATTTTGAATAACATGTGATTAAAAAACTGTATAATTGTTGATGTTATTCAGGGCTTAGCTGCCTGATGAAAACGAATATGAGCAATAAAAGACATTTAGCTCATGTTCCCCATAAGTTATGTATTAGAAAGTATATTGTTTTCTTTAAAACGTAACTGTTCATCATAAAAGTCTATTCTACAAATCATAATTTTTTATTGTAGTTACATATTGTAATTCATTTATTGTGTAGTATATCATTATTATTGTACTGACTATGATTATTAATTTTCTACATTTTCTTGACCTTCTGGAAGATTATTAAGACCTGTTTTTTTCCTCCTGCAAAGGGCCAGGGTGTTAAAGGATCCCTATAAACATTGTGTTGATTTTGCAAGTGATATGGCATTTAGGCATTTTGGTATTGGTTTTTGTTTTGTTTTGTTTATTGGGGGGCTCATTTTATATGGCTTCTCTTATTTTTTTTTCTTATAAATTACTCAAAATTATGTATTTAAGGATGGCCATTTAACATTTCTAAATATGCTTCTTAAAAGTTGCTTTGAACAAAGTGATTAATAAATTCATAAATAAATTTACAATTGCATCTTCTGTAAAAAGATCATATGGTCAGGATAGTGTAGCCATCTCCTTTTACAATCATCTTCCTCTCTCTCTCCTCCTTCTCCCCTTCTCCCCACCATCCATCTCTCTCTCTCTCTCTCTCTCTCTCTCTCTCTCTCATATTCTTTCTCTTTAAACTTATAGGCTGACCAATTCAATGCTGACTGTGTGTGACAGATTCTTTTTTTAAATGCAGTATCTAGAAATAAAAACCTATAACAATGGGGTTTTTTATATTTTGCATCAGCAAATATTGCAGGGTATGTTAAATTAGATAACATGATCTCAAGTGAACTTTTACTTCAAATATATAAATTGAAAATAATTGAAAAGTTATGAAAAAGGGAAGAAAGGAGTGCAAAAAACTTGAGGGACAATATAATTCCAAAAGGCTCCATTAAATTAATATTAAAGGATAATGTAGCCCATTTATGTGTAGAAATAGCTTCGTTTTAGCTAAATACAGGATGCCAACTCCTTGAAGTTGGAGGATGGGTTCTTTCCTAACTAAGTTACTTATTAGAATTTTGAACCCAGCAATGCTGAACTCTTAATTTATTCCATATTGGTATGTACTTGACCAGCTGAAGAACCCTTACAGTTGTGGTTGTTAAAGACCAATAAGAGCCGAGGTGACGCAGTGGTTAGGGTGCAGTACTGCAGGCCACTTCAGCTGACTGTTATCTGCAGTTCAGCGGTTCTGATCTCACCGGCTGAAAGTTGACTCAGCCTTCCATCCTTCCGAGGTGGGTGAAATGAGGACCCAGACTGTGGGGGCGATATGCTGACTCTGTAAACCGCTTAGAGAGAGCTGAAAGCCCTATGAAGCGGTATATAAGTCTAACTGCTATTGCTATTGCTATAAGTTTCTGGAGTATTTTGTTTTTTAAAGACAGAAATGCCAGTTATTTGCCAGGCAGTTGAAATCCAAGAGCAGCACAGCTGTTTAGCTAGCATCACATACTTCCTTTGTAAAAACACAAACATACCTTATTGGCCTTCGTAATATGGTGGTGGTGGTAATGTGGGATCTATAGCTGTGAGACTTTTATTGGACCTTTGTTGTCTTTTTTATTCTTCTCTCTTTCTTTAAATTGGATTATGTTTTCATGTTTGTTTGTTATTCAGAATTTGTCTGGTAGATGGACAGACATGTATATTAATTGATTGTAAATATTATATAAGACAGCTATTAAATAAGCTATGCTCTTTCTTTTCGAAGGTTCGTCACTAGGTGCTGTCTGTGTTAAAAATTGTTTTGCATTTGTGTAGAATTATTTCTAGATTAGAAACAGTGTCTCAGATATTGCTTTTTATTCTGTAGGCATACTACATTAAAAATTGGTGTCCCAAAGACTTTACAATATTACAGATGCTTTAGAGTGTCTTATTACTATGCAGAAAGGGCTGGAGTAGAAGCTGCAGGGATGTTTCCCAAACTACTAGATATACATGGCTAACCAAATAAAAAGCAGGAATACCTTTGGGCTTTTTTCCCAGTTGGACAACGTTATTCTGTGGGGATGAGGAGCTTCAGAAAAAGGGGAAGAGATGTGGTACACATATTGCCAGTTTACATCATTAGTATTTCAAGTAAAATATGCTTTTTCAGTGTATTTCTTTTAATAGTTTTCTAGCATTGTTGAGAATGGAAGAGAGTAGATGTTTAATTACATCAATTTGGTCTTTTGAGTATGAATATAGGATTATGGCTCCAAAATAAATGTTTATATTCTTTTAGAGGAATTACACAGTGAAGCTAAATATGATATATTCTGTTGTCTTCTAAGATAATAAGAGAAGTAAATTTGGCAAAAACTTTTTACAAAATAATTTCTAAAGAAAATACTTGACTTTTTCCTATTTTTTAAAGCAAAGGTTTGTGTAATCTAACAAGTCTTAACATTCCATGCTGGGGGTTTATTGTAAGGTAGTAAAACCAGATTTTATATCTCGTTTATTCCTACAACTTCTGATGTGCTTCCAAAAATGGTATTAAGGCAGCAGCTGAGGAAATTTTATGAGATAATGAAGCAGAACAGTTACTGAAAGCCATCTGCTCAGTTGTTTACAAACTTGCTTCAATACTTCAGAGGCAGTGGTAGAGTACGTGTCTAAACTTCACAAGCTGCACTAGGTAGAACTAAATGAAATGCGCCTGGGTTGGGCTGAGCTCGATCCCTCTCTGTGCAGTCTAAGCGGTTGCCAGGCAGGCCTGTTGGAAGCCAGCAGAAAGCACCACACAGAGGTGATTATGTGCCACCATCTGTCACGCTTCAAGCCTACCATACAGCATGGCTAATCAGCCTTGGCAGGATGATGGATGAACAGCAGCAGCTGCCAAAAGCCACTGTTGGCAAACAGTCCTGAAGTTAAGAACTTTTTCCCCTCTCTGTTTTCCTCTCCAGGGTCCTGCTGCGTGTCCGCATGCTGTACTATCTGAGGCAAGAAGTTATAGGGGACCAAGCTGACAAGATCTTAGAGGGTTCTGATTCAAGGTTAGTGCAAATTCAAGTTTATCTGTGCTTCATGATCATGGTTTATGTGAATATTTATTTATCATCATAAAAAAGTTAAAGATTAAACGTATCTGTTTATACTCTTTTATTAAACTGCTGCATATTTTGGTTGTTCATTAAGGGTGAAGAATTGTTAATTTCATGAAATAAATTACTTCAACAGTGAACAATTTTAATTTATAAATCTAATGTAAAGATTTAAAGTGGGAAAAAAGTATATCATTTGGGGAGTTTTTTCCATACTTAATTTTTTGTTTAGTTACAGTTATACAAGTTTGATCTTTTGATACTTATGTCAGCATCTAAAATTATTTGGAAATGCTTTTTTTAGTGAGATTGATATTTGGATTCCTGAACCATTTCATGCAGAAGTTCCTATGGATTGGTGGGATAAAGAGGCAGATAAATCTCTTTTAATTGGAGTATTCAAACATGGTGAGTGATGTCATACTTTGAACAGAGCTTCTTGGTAAAGCTTTCTGTTACACCAATATTCAGTCATAATATTAACAAGTATAGTTCCAAAGAACTGTTGGCTTCTGTTCCTTTTTTCCTTCTGCATTAAAAAAAATGTATTTGAGTTGTAAATATCAGATGCTGTTTTAAAATGTTTGCAGAATATTTCAGAAGAAAACATTACTTTCTTGGCTGCAAATAACATAAAACCATATTTGTTTAAATAATAGCCAAATAGTTTTACAGTTCTCCATAAACTCTGCTTCCAACATTGTTCACTTACTAATTCTGCCAGTTAGTGTCAAAGTGGATGGTGGGCTTAACCTCTGCTATTAATCTGTACAAGTGCCTCCTGGGCTTTGTTCCAAGCAATATTTCACAAATGTCAGTGCTGAGAACTATGGGCTCCCTTGAGTGGGATGCAGCCTTGTTAACTTTGAAGGACTAGGGAAGTAGAGTTGGCATGCTATATACAGTGGGCAAATCCTGATTATAATCCCAATTCTCTGGAGTTCGGTGCAGCATTCTCAGCAGGCTAGATTGTCTAAAGGAGAGAATGAAGGCTTACAAAATCTTTCATGATTACATTTTGGCTTGACACTGTACAGTGGTTAAGGAGAGTGTGTTGTGGAATAAATTCTAATTGAATTGTGCTGCTCTACCTATATACAGGAATTCTGTTGTGGGCTCAACTGAGGCAAACTAGCCTAAAAACCACGTTGATGCCGCGCACTGTTGGGATCTGCCATTTTCCATCTAGTCAATGTGGTCAGTAAGAAAAAACAGCAGTCTGAAAAATATGATGGGATCAGTATCATATTACAGACAGGCATCATCATACATATTTCCCTATGTATGTATCTCCAGCATAATGCCCTGGTTTCATTGTGACCAGAACAACCAAAAGAAGGTAGTTAGATTGCATGTAGAGGAAGAAGGGCAACTCATAAGCACTTTTCTCTAGGTGTCCAGTATAAATATTCACCATATTTCTCTTTCTCTTCTATCACTTATTCACATATTTTTCGAGATCTTCATTGGCGGTATCACTGCTTGAAGGGATTTTTACAATAAGGTTTTCTTAGTTTATGATCAGTATAAAAGTATAATCTGTAAGGATTCTTGTTGATAGATATTGGTCTTTTTATGTTTATCTGAATGCAGGCTATGAGAAGTACAATTCTATGAGAGCAGACTCTACTCTATGTTTTTTGGAAAGGGTTGGCATGCCTGATGCCAAGGCCATTGCTGCTGAGCAGAGAGGGACAGATCTATTAACAGATGGTGGTGATGGGTAAGCAGGACATTATAAAAAAAATTAATAAACTTGTACTGTATTGTGTATGCTGGCCTGACTTCACCTATTGCATCATATTTGTGGATTCTCATACATAGGAAAGTTTCAAAATAATGTTTATATTGAGGAAAATAAAAATAATAGTCATTTTTATTGTAACAATAGGCGTTGCTGAGATGAATTTCCTTTTGCTTCAGTATTCTTTTTTTTATTGTCTGTCATATGCTGCATAGGTAAGCACTGGAAAATGTTTTGAGTTATTAGCTCTGATATATTCTGGATTTTATTTCATTTAGAGGTGATTTTGATAGAGAAGATGAAGACCCAGAATATAAACCAACCAGAATTCCATTCAAGGATGAAATTGATGTAAGAAGTAATAATAATATACATGCTTTATAACTACATTATTTTGAAATCGTGTGTTTTCCATGATTGTGTGTGTTGTGTATGTGTTCAAATTTAATTATTGTGCTTGCTTGGAATACTATTATTCATTACATTTTCTTTTTTGTCAAAGGAATTTGCAAACTCACCTTCTGACAAGGAAGAATCTCTAGAGCTCCTCCATGCAGGTAAGATTTTGGAAAAACGTGGTGATGAATGGAAGAAAAAAGAGGATAACAATAAAAATGTGATCCAATGTGTATATTAAAGTTTGTAGTTGTGAAAACTACATTTCCAAGTCTATACAAAATCACACAAAGTGGATTGAGTATGAACATTACTCTTTGGGTCATTTTCCATTGGAATACAGTTAAGAAAATTGTTCACAGTAGTAATTCAATACAATACAATACAATACAATAACAGAGTTCAATTCAATTCAATTTATTAGACTTGTATGCCGCCCTATTCCCAAAGGGACTTGAAGGTCTTCTAGTCCAACCCCCTGCCTAGGCAGGAAACCCTATACCATTTCAGACAAATGGCTATCCAACATCTTCTTAAAGACTTCCAGTGTTGGGGCATTCACAACTTCTGGAGGCAAGCTGTTCCACTGATTAATTGTTCTAACTGTCAGGAAATTTCTCCTCAGTTCTAAGTTGCTTCTCTCCTTGATTAGTTTCCACCCATTGCTTCTCATTCTACCCTCAGGTACCTTGGAAAATAGCTTGACTCCCTTTTCTTTGTGGCAACCCCTGAGATATTGCAACACTGCTATCATGTCTCCCCTAGTCCTTCTTTCTATTAAACTAGTCATACCCAGTCCGTGCAACCATTCTTCATATGTTTTAATCTCCAGTCCCCTAACCATCTTTGTTGCTCTTCTCTGCACTCTTTCTAGAGTCTCCACATCTTTTCTACATCGTGGTGACCAAAACTGAATGCAGTATTCCAAGTGTGGCCTTACCAAGGCTTTATAAAGTGATATTAACACTTCATGTGATCTTGAGTCTATCCCTCTGTTTATGCAGCCTAGAACTGTGTTGGCTTTTTTGGCAGCTGATGCACACTGCTGGCTCATATTTAAATGGTTGTCCACTAGGACTCCAAGATCCCTTCACAGTTACTACTGTTGAGCAAGGTACCACCTATACTGTATCTGTGCATTTACAGTGCAAAGGCCTTTTCATGAAATTTCCTTTAACTCTAAGGGATTTATTATCAAAAGTGTTTTTGTTACCTGTTTTTTATGATAATATTTTGCGAGCTAGTATTTGTCTTTAATTATGAATACCTCTTATCTTCCTTGATAATATTCTCCAGGCAAGCACAGTGACAATACTGCTGATTTTGGTCAACTCTACTGGCCAAGCACTTCAACCCTGACTACTCGGTTGCGCCGTCTCATTACTGCATATCAACGTAGTTATAAAAGGCAACAAATGAGGCAAGAAGCACTAATGAAGACTGACCGGCGTCGACGACGACCTCGTGAAGAAGTGAGAGCACTGGAAGCAGAAAGAGAAGCTATAATAACAGAAAAACGTCAAAAGTAAGTTTCTGTAGGCTTCCTTATAGAAATGAGTATTGCCTTGCAACATAAATTACAATCTTTAGAATGCAAGTGGATATTCAGTTGGACTTTTGGAAATATCCTGATATACTATTCTCTTTGTTTTTAGGTGGACAAGAAGAGAGGAAGCAGATTTTTATCGTGTTGTATCTACTTTTGGAGTTATTTTTGACCCTATAAAGCAACAGTTTGATTGGAACCAGTTCAGAGCTTTTGCCAGACTTGATAAGAAATCTGATGAAAGTTTGGAGAAGTACTTCAGTTGTTTTGTAGCTATGTGCAGGCGCGTGTGTCGAATGCCAGCCAAACCAGATGAAGGCAAGCCCATTGTTTTCCATAATACTAAAAGATACTTTAGATAGTTTACGATATTTAAGGATCCATGTTTATTTTCCCTTTTACCCTTTCCTTTTTTCCAGCAGTTGTGATCACACATGCTATAAATTTGCAACTGCAGCATTCTAATTAAATAAAATTGGGGGGGGGAGATATATTAAAGATTTTTTTTAATGCGAGTAAAAACTGGCTTCAGGTATTGAAGGTTGAGCTTATTATAAGCACCCTTGTTCCTACTAGACTTAACCCTCAAAGGAGTGGGTGCATTCCTCTGTAGAACAGTTGTGACTAATAATAGACTCTTTAGGAGCTCTACTCCCTTCTCTGAACTATCACATAAACCTAGGGATTATCTATTTATTTACTATTTTTGTTAGATTTATATCCTGGCTTTCATTTAGGAGCTTGAGACAGAAACAATGTCATTCCTCTTCCAGGTTTTCCCCACAATATTCCTGTGAGATAGTTTGGGCTGAAAGAATGTATCTGATACAGAGCCACCCACTGCTAAGAATGGACTTGAACCTCTTCAGTGCTAGTCCAACATTTTGACCACTATGCTATACTATATTTCAGTAAAGGATAAAAATGAAGGATAAAAATGAAAAAAACAACTGATTCTAACACTTCAGCAACTGAGCTGAGCCCTTTAAGATCCCAAGCCAAGTTTGAAACAATTAAGAGCAATTGAGATTCTGTTACATTTGCTTTAGTTTGTGGGCAGGGTTGCTGATTGGGTTTATTTCAAGTTGGGAATTATTTGAAATCCAGTGATAATTTATATTATACAACTTTTTAAAAACTATCTTCTTAAATCAAATAATATAGACTATTGCTTAATATGTAGTAATTTTAAAACTTTCCTAATTTCTATGTACTCCTTTTTTTCCTTATAGAACCTCCTGATCTTTCTACTATGATTGAGCCTATCACTGAAGAACGTGCTTCTAGAACTTTATATCGTATAGAACTCTTGAGAAAAGTCCGAGAGCAGGTTCTCCATCATCCACTATTGGCAGAGAGGCTAAAATTGTGTCAGCCAAGTTTGGATTTACCAGAATGGTGGGAGTGTGGCAAACACGATAAAGATTTATTGATTGGAGCTGCTAAACATGGAGTCAGCAGGACAGATTATCACATTCTAAATGATCCTGAACTTTCTTTTCTTGATTCTCATAAAAATTTTGCTCAAAATAGAGGTGGTGGTAATCTAACTACCATATCTCTATTAAATCCACTGGGTGTTTGCTGTGGTCAGTCAATGTCTATTGTCCCAACCTCACTAGTACAAGATGAAAAACTTACAGAACAAGCTGAGGTTAAAGTGGAAGGAGCTGAAAAAGTACCAGCCATAGAAAAGTCTGGCAATGAGGAGGAGGAGATAGAGGGAGCAGATGTTGCAGTAAAAAGTGATAAGGAGGAGGAGGCTGAGGTTAAGGTTGTTCCTGTAAAATGTGAAATAAAAGATACAGAACTGAGTACAGAAGTTGATCCTAAATCAATTTCCGAAAAAGGTTCGGAAGATGATGAAGAAGAAAAACTTGATGATGATGACAAGTCAGAAGAATCTTCACAACCTGAAGGTAATTGTAGATGCAACCTGAACTAAGAATTATTTTGACTATACTTGACAGATCATATCTTAGCAGTTCTTTCAGTGGACTTAAGATTCTCAAGTCTGATCTCATTCAAACTGTTTAAAGTACAGTACTAGGAATGCAAGCCTTTAGTATTTTTCTTTTCAATAAACATTTCTACGTTTATTTTTCTACCAAGGAATTTCTACATCTGTCTACAAGTCCTTATGTGTTATATAATATTATGCACCATGTTCTTAAGGCACTTGCCAAGACTGTTTGACCTCATTATTGCTTTCTGAAAACTAAGCAAAGGCATAATCATCAATATTGCTGTGCTGTTGTAAAGAAAGATGATTAGGAATGGACAAGAGAACTTGAGAATACAGTTTGATAGCTAATATTTTATTTGGTTCTAACAAATAAAGGGTAACATGTAAATGTTTTAGAAATGGCACTGTCATCTGTTATTTACTTTGAACTGCAATAAAATAGAATATAAAAGAACAAAATGATATAATTCAAGTGTCAGAAATCATCCTAGAAAATTACTGTGATTTTGCTAAATAAAATACCATAGATTTATAATTTTTACTAAAATATAATTTTTCTATGAGAATTTCTTGGAATTTTTTCTTATAACTTCATCTCAGACATAAAAATACATTTGTCCATTATGATGTACATAAAATTCCCAGTACTTCATTCAAAGATTTAACAGTTGTATAAAATTTATTATACTATAAATAACTGTCCTATTTGAGGAAGCTAATTTTTGGTGGTTGTTATTTCTCGACAGGAATGATTTCTCGGAATAAGAATTTTGATGAAGAAAGCAATGCATCCCTGAGCACTGCAAGGGATGAAACGCGTGATGGATTTTATATGGAAGATGGAGACCCATCCGTAGCCCAGCTGCTTCATGAAAGAACATTTGCTTTTTCTTTTTGGCCTAAGGTTTGTTCAATATATAACCTGATTATCATTTGATTTCTAAGAAAAGTTATCAGGTCTGAATTACTTAATAGTGTATATCATAATTCAATTCTGTAAGCTATAGAGCAGATTCTCTTCAGGGGGGGTGAGAAGCACTCTAGTAGAATATGAAGTATTTTCAGATTTGGCTCTCACCAGCTAAACATATCTGATTTTCTCAACTGAAGAGGATTCAATTAAAGGTATTGTAGCTATTCTGCATAATTATTGAACAGGACAATAAAGTGAAATTTCAGACTGAGACTTCCATTTCCTATCACCTAAGAGATATGTTCTAGGCCTGCTGTTCAGAAAAAAAGAACTTAAAATAAATATTATGGTATTTCTTAAATATTGTAATGTAGATGGGTTATATTTTTTTGTTTTTTGTAATCTTAAAAAAGGATTATTAAACTATCTCATAGCTTTCACTTTTTAAGAAATACCCTAAAATTCAGAATAGATAAAATTCTTGTACTGAAATTGTATTAGCTTCATATACATCTCAGTTTCTGATTTCACTGGGTGCTAGAGAAAAATAAAGTAGTAAAAGTCTTAAGCTTCCTAATCACCATAACGGGGCCATCTGGATTAGGGGAAAATAACCTTGTTATAATAGGCTTATTCCTGGGGAAAACAAGCAGTAGGCTATAGCTGCTGAAATCTGCTGGCAGCTTTTATTCTATTTTGTAGTTTAGTGAAGATTAATCCTATCTGGTTATCAATCGATAATTTCCAAATATTAATAATTACTTTGGAAAAATATTTGTGATTCAAAATACTGATAACTCTGTGTTTCCACAGAAAGTGGCTTAAAAGTAATGTATTGCTAGTTTACAGTGAACTTCAAAAAATAATATAAATCAATTAATATAGTATGGTACAAATGAACAAATAACACCACTAGCAGAAAATGTAATATATTCATGTAAATAACAGCACACAAAAACATAATTTTACAGCATTCAGATTTTAAAAGCAAATATTATTAGCCAAGTAATTTAACTTTCTTAAGAAAAATCAGAAAGGCATTATATAATTGCATATTTTGGAACTTAAAAGTTTCAAAATATGCAATTAAGATTCAAAGTATTTTCTATGCAGGAATGCTGCATTTTGTATTTGCTTTTATTTTGAGCATGCTGTAATTAAACTGTTTCAGTATACATGCTTGAGTGGAACTTGAAGTGATAATGGGTGTGGAATGAAAACTGACATTTATGGGATGTTCCTAGATTGGTAGCCTTTTCACAAAGTTGAACTTTATTAATAGTGACACTAATAAAGGGCCACTTCCTAGGACAGAATTACAGATGGTGTTGTCTCTGACCTACCTAAGACAAAGTTATTGAGAGTAAAGATTATATTATTCATTATGTAGTAGTTGCACTATTACTTGTTAATTCGGCTTGAGTTTTAAAACGTCTGAGTAATAGCAAATGCTTAGGAAAAAAATACTGCACATCCAACATTTTGTTTATTTTTATTACCAACAGCAATAATGTTTGTTCTTCGTTTATATGCATTTGCTTTAATTTCAGGGTGATTGAGAATAATTTTTAAATGCAGAATTTCAATTATAATTACTTTGGATCTAAAATTAGTAAATCTGTTAAACCATACAATAATGCAGATTTTGTATTTCCCTTTTGCAGGATCGAGTAATGATCAACCGATTAGACAGCATCTGTGAAGCAGTGCTGAAGGGAAAGTGGCCAGTAAATAGACGCCAGATGTTTGATTTCCAGGGGCTTATACCAGGGTATACGCCAGCAGCTGTGGACAATACTCTACAGAAAAGAAGCTTTGCTGAACTCTCCATGGTTGGTCAGGCCAGCATCAGTGGCAGTGAAGATGTCTCTGTATCGCCTCAATTATCTAAGGCATGTTTTGTTTAACAAAAGGAAAAGGCCAAAATAGCAGCAAAAAACACATGTGGCAATTAAATTCCACTTTTGCCAGAAAAAATAAACAAAAATAAATAACATTTAGATTGAAAGTAGTTTTTACGACACATTTTTTATTAGGCAAAAGTTATAATTAACTTATCTAATGTTGGTCAGGCCAAAAATATTATTGATTGGGACAGTGCCATCATATTATGATTTTTCCATTTTTCAAAAATGGAAATGCAGTAAAAATTAAACACATTTCTTTTAAAAAAGCAATGGTTAAAATGATTGCTCATAATTATATATGTTAATTTTTCATTAGGAAGATGTACTCAATTTATCAGTTCCACGTCAGCGGAGGAGGCGGAGGAGGAAGATTGAAATTGAGGCTGAAAGGGCAGCCAAGAGGAGAAATTTAATGGAAATGGTTGCCCAATTGCGAGAATCAAAGATTGTCTCTGAAAATGGGCAAGAAAAAATTGTAGACTTATCAAAAGCCTCAAGGGAGGCAACAAGTTCTACCTCAACTTTTTCAGCTGTTCCTTCAAAGTTTCTGTTACCTACTGTTTCGACACCAGTGTCTGATGTCTTTAAAAGTCAAATGGAGCTGCTACAAGCAGGCCTTTCTCGCACACCCACAAGACATCTGCTAAATGGTTCCTTAATTGATGTCGAGCCACCCATGAAAAGGAGAAGAGGAAGAAGGAAAAACGTGGAAGGTCTTGATCTTTTATTTATAAGCGGCAAGCAAGCCTCTCTAACAGCAGTAAGAAGATATTTCCATTACATTATTTTCTAAAAAAAGAAAATACAGCATAATTATGACAAATATAGAGCCCAACCTGTGGACCTTATGCAACTCTTTAGCTGTTTCCAGAATATTTCATAATATATAAAATGTTTAACTTACTCCTGAAGCATTTGAGAGCTGATTATTTTTTTAATTTGGAGAAGTTTAAAGATGCATGTCTCTTCTTAATTCCCTTCAAAATGCAAAGGAAAAAAGAAAGAAAAAACATTCTGGCAGCAGCTATTCTAAAAATATCACCAGTCATTTTTCCTGAAGCCCTTGGAAACCCTTGGGTTTGTTTTTTTGTTTTGTTTTTTGGTGGGGGGGGGGTTGGTATTTTTTTTATTGGCACCCACTAGGAAATTGTCCATTTCTAATATTGGGGTAGGGCATGTAATGAACGTAGGAAATGAATCTCGAAAACCTTGTAGAAATCTTGTGTTATCTTAAATATTAATCAGTTGATTATAACAGGCTTTTATGGCTCATAGTTTGCTTCATCAGATGAGTCACAGAAGGTTTACTTGCAAAAGACTAACATGGCTGCCCGTCTGGAATATTTCACTTAAAACAATGCTTATTGACCACATAGGTCTTCTTAGAATATAAATTGAAAGATGTTTGCAGCCAGATGTTTGCAGCCAGGTGCCTATCTAATCATTTAAAATAGAAGAGCATGAAACTGTACAGAACATTTTAGTAACTAAGTGTTACAATACTAGTTATATCCTTCACGATCTAAAAATTCCAGATATGTCCACCAGTCCAAATAAAATTTGTCTTATCTATATAGCCATATATGTCTACTTTAAACCACAAAGATACCATAATGACTGCCTTTGTGTATTTTTTGCCATACATGGCATCATAACATGTTTTTAATTACCTTTCCTCACCACCTCCATAGAACTGTACAGTATAAGCAGTGGTGAGATAGCTATGTACATCTATACATACAGTACTTAAAAGAATTAATGTCGTTTGTCATTATTGTTTAAAAGGCTAACAGTACTCCCCATTTAAATTAGGAGTTTTATGCATCACTCCTGTTGAATTAGCATTATGTTGAAAGTTAATAGAATTTTGAACATTCTGCAGGAAGATGCAGAAGTGACCAAAGTGTTTGATGAAGAAATGGAACCTCCTCCAGCAAGAAACATTCCATCTCCTGGGCAACTGGATCCTGATACTCATATTCCTGTCATTAATATGGAAGATGGGACCAGACTAGTAGGAGAAGAGGCACCTAAAAACAAGGATTTAATTGAATGGCTTAAATTGCATCCCATGTATACTCTTGATATGCCAAGTTATGTACCAGTAAGTGAATACTCTCCTTCTATTTTATTATTTTACCATTTTATTTATATGTGACAAAATTCCTAGGATATTTTTTTTAAAACTTTACAATATGTAAAATGAGCAAAGTAGTAAATATTGAAAGTGTCACAACAAATTGTGGTCTCTGACCTATTTGAAAAGCTTAAGCTTGGATCATTATTTTGGATATATTATGCATTTGTAAAGTCTTAGCTTTAAAATATTACTGTTAAACATGTAATAGTCTTAATGCTATTGTTAATGTTTATTTCAATGATAAAATATACTGTACATATATTTTTATAAATTAAACATTCGTTTCTAGGAAATAATTGCCCTTTTTCTTTTCTTTAGAAGAGTGCAGATGTGCTGTTTTCCCCATTTCAAAAACCGAAGCAAAAACGGCACAGATGTCGAAATCCTAATAAATTGGATATTAACACCTTAACTGGAGAAGAGAGGGTTCCTGTTGTAAATAAACGGAATGGGAAGAAGGTAATGCACTGACTAATTTCCTCTATGACTACCTATTGTTTCATTTAATTTTCGGGTAATTTTCAGGCTTTTGTATTACTTTTCTATAAAACTGCATCCTTCAGTCATCTCAAACATTCTGTATCATCTTGTTTGAAATATCGGTATTGAATCAAAAATCTCCTTCATTGGAGATTTTTCTGGAGGAGGCCACATAGTTTCTAGTTTGTCTTTTATTTATCTTCGTTTTTCACATCATGGGCTAGGAGAAATCTTGATTCTATTAACATTTTGGATTTTAAGTGGGAAATATTCTTAAGCTATTTGACAATTTTTGTACTTTATTATGATTAATAAGTCCTTTGTTATATTCAGATTATCAGTGACATTATGTACAAATAAATGATAGGCTACTTTTGTTAAACTGCATTCATTATGAAATAGAGATCTCTTCTTTAATTAAAATTTAATATATATTACTAGATGGGTGGTGCTATGGCCCCACCAATGAAAGACTTGCCAAGATGGCTGGAAGAAAATCCAGAATTTGCTGTTGCTCCAGATTGGACTGACATTGTTAAGCAGTCTGTAAGTAATAGGTTTTTTTTTTAATTACACAGTCAGATTTACTTATTTATTCAATCTAATTCAATTTTGGTGTTGTCAAATTCCAGAATTACTTTAGGCCTCTCACAATATTAAAATATTGTGGCACAGTTTAAATGAGGGAACCAGACTTAACCTAATCTGTCAACTTTTACCACCTGCAAAAATTGCAGGAGACAGGCAGTTCCTCAAATAAGTGGGCTCCATGCCTTTTAAGTGAGAACCAGCACTTTAAAATGCACCCAGAAGTATATTGGGTAAACAGTACAGCTTGTTAAACAGATCAGCATACCACTACTTAGATTGCTGCACTGTGGACCAGGTGCAGCTTCTGAGTGCATTCGTGAAAAAGACATGTGAGACAGTGGAGAACTAAGACAGTGGAGAATCAAGAAAGCATAACTATGTGTGTTTCATGTAACTTTACCATCTCTTTTTCTTTCCTATGACTTATTCATTGGTAAGCCTATTCACAGGTAAAAAACACAGCACCATATTTGGATCCCGTGTAGTTTCTTCAGTTACGATATTGATATTTAGCAATGTCATATTTTGGAGCAAAGGAAAACCAGAAGATGTATATAATGCTTCTGCAATGCTTCACACATCTATTTTATCTCTTCATATCCCCAATTGAAAAGAATCAGTCATGCTCTTTGGACATTACATCTTGCTTCTCTTACAATTGTCTTCCTTGGATTTAATCTGATGTTAAAAACCTAGCTTATTATGGTTAAAGGGATAACCTTTATAACTCATAGATTTAAGATCAAAGAGGGAAAAATAAAATGAATAAATATACCCTTGTGAATACAATTGTGAATCATATAAGCAGCATGATGTAAAATGCTCAGTATACAGGCATCATTATAAATGATTTATATTTATTTATATGCTTGTGCTCTTTTTTTTTTCTATCATCTAGGGTTTTGTTCCAGAATCCATGTTTGACCGTCTTCTCACAGGTCCTGTGGTGCGGGAAGAAGGTGCAAGCAGAAGAGGGAGAAGGCCAAAAAGTGAAATTGCCAAAGCAGCTGCAGCTGCTGCTGCTGTAGCTTCAACATCGGGAATTAACCCACTGATAATGAACAGTCTGTTCGCTGGAATGGATCTCGCAAGCCTTCAGAATTTACAAAACCTACAATCTCTTCAGCTTGCAGGTCTCATGGGCTTCTCTCCAGGACTGGCGACACCTGCTGCTGCTGCTGGAGGTGATTCTAAAAATCCAGCTGCTATTCTGCCTCTGATGTTGCCAGGTATGGCAGGGTTGCCCAATATGTTTGGACTAGGTGGATTGTTGAATAACCCAATAACAGCTGCTTCTGGAAACACCACTATGGCTTCCAGTCAAGGAGAAAGTGAAGATGGCACTTCAAATGAAGAAGAAAAAAAGAACGAGAATGAAGAGGAGAACAAAGACTCTGAGAAAAGCACAGACATTGTTTCAGCTACTGACTCTGCAAATGGATCTGTTGGTGCAACTGCTGCTATGGCCTCTGCTACCACCACAAGCAACACTGGATTGCCTGCCAACCCTCTAACTTTCAATCCTTTCCTTCTGTCAACAATGGCCCCTGGTCTGTTTTACCCTTCTATGTTTCTACCTCCGGGATTGGGAGGATTGACACTACCTGGTTTCCCAGCATTAGCGGGACTTCAGAATGCAGTGGGCTCCAGTGAAGTGAAGGTTACAGATAAAACCGAAGAAGCTGCCTTTAAAGATGAAGAAAATCTAGAGGGCAGTGATGCAGAGGGGAGCCTTGATAAAACTGCAAATTCCTCTGCTTTAGAAGATGAAATAGCACAGGGTGAAGAATTAGACTCACTTGATGGGGGGGATGAAATAGAAAACAATGAAAATGATGAATAAGCAGTACAAGTTACTGTTCAAGTGTTTTAAACTTTTGACAAGTGGTAGTCCTACTGTTTACACTCACAGTTAATGTCCATACTTAGTTTTATAAGCTGTTCTGTAACATAGTGTAGCAAACAAAAAGTCATGTTATACAGATGAGTCGAAAGGTATCTTGGTCATTAAGTATTGTGCAGTGCATTATTTATTATACCTAGAAGAGATGAAATGGAGAGGTGACCTTATCTTTTTAAGGAAATTGATATAATGCTCTGCTTTTTTTCCTTTTGGTACCATTGGTATTATAAAGCAGCAACTTGTAATAGAGTGGCACTAAATAGAAGGAAGTGCTGCTGAAAGGAAGTATGAAGTTATATATTTAATTATTAATTTTTAATTTTTTGCTGTGAAGGTCAAGATAAATTTTAACATGCATATCATTCATACATATCATTTTGACTGTATGGAAGTTCACCCGTGCACATATATGCACATGCACACCCATACATATACACACACATTCTCTGACAATCTCCATGATAGTGTGAATGTCTCTCTGTCTTGAGACACAGCAATAATAAGGCAGCTGTTGAATGTGAAGAGTACCTTTTGGAAATTACCCATTGAAAAGGTTCTTGCAGGATAAAACTACAGTTAAATCGTCTCGTGATTTTGTAATGCACTGGTAAAACAATTTTTTTTAAAAATCAGGTACCTTTTTAAATTAAAGGACTTTGTTACTTTAGCCACAAAGCTAAACAGATTACCTCAACTCTAAAGTAGCCTTGAAGTTTACAGACATGACTTTGTAAATGTATTTGTTTTTCTTTTTTTTGTGATGTCTTTTTATCCCCCCTTCCCCACCTTGGAAATTGCTATCATGTAAGATAAGATGTAAATTGCTGCCAACTGTAGTAATGATGCTTTTAATAAAAGTGACTCATGATATGTAAGGTGTAATTCCTAGAATATAGTGATCACAACTGATTCATGCTCAACAGAAACAAATATATCACTGCAGTCTTCCCCCTGTATCTTTCTTTACCAGCTTTTCTATCTCCAAATATACTAAATTAGTAGCCTGGGAAAAGACAAGGGAAAAAAGCCTGAATTATACTCATATTGTTCAAGCCTTACTGAAGCTTCAGAAAGATGCACAAAGACCTGCATTACGCCCTCAACATATTTTCAAATGTGTTCTGTGTGTGATAATGTGGTACATTAAAGAACAAAAGGGTAAAAGAAAAATGAGGCTTTGATAGGCATGATATCTAGGTCATTTATCCTTGGTTAATGGGTAGAAAAACACAATACTGTAGTTTGAGGAAGGAACATAAAGGCACTGTGGTGGGCTGTAGATTAATGTCTGTGATGCTAGAAAGCCCTGTCAAACATCCTACAGGAAACTAAAACTGACCCACTTTATAGAACACCTAAGCTGCTTTTGAAATGCTGCTGGTTTGCACCTTTTTATGACCTTGGATAATGTAGCTTTTGAGAGTTATGCCTTCACAGTGCTGTCACCAAAATGAGCATATAGCAACCCTGCCATGAAGTTAAAGAGGTAGGCATTTCATTTTGGAAAGAAGAAAGAGAATTTACCAGGATGCTCACTTCCATTTAGATCAATCCTTTAGACTACTTGAGAATACTATAACAATTATCAGGAGAACAAAAAAATAACCATTTGAGCTAGCTGTGTATATTTCTCTAGTTCTATTAATAGTTGGTAATACAGTTTAATGAGACTTTTTTAAAATACCCAGTTCGGTTGGAATTGAGTGTGGAATGTGAAAGTGTGCCATAAACATTTACAAAATACAAAATAATGAACAGTAACTAAATAGTGTAAGTAACTGAAAGATATGCATTGCTTGAATTAGTCCAGATCAAAATGTCATGTTATCTCCATTTTAATAGATCAGACTAGCTTATAGAGGTCAGGATTTCTTTCCCCTTTGTACATGCTATTGCACAGTCAACTGTATCTGTTATTTATTGTCAAACTCACATACAGTTTCTGTTATAAAAATCTAAAAACCAACAGAGGGTCCATCAATCTGATTGGGAGTGGCATACCTTGTACCTATTGATATCTGCCATAAATTTTAACTGGCTCGTTTTCAAAAACTATGGAGTTTATGGTAAAAGTAACACTATAAAATATTATTTGTCTTTGCATAATCTAAAACATTCTGTTTTATACTGGCAGAAAGTAATTTAATGAAGGTTAATGATATCCCTGGGGAAAGAAGTTTTAATTGTCAAGAGCAAAGGCAATTAAAAAACAAGGGCACATGCACTATCTGTCTACAGAACGTTTTATTTCTGACTACTGTGTCCAATTCTGAACTGTACAACTTGTCTTACAATGCCCTAAGTTGTCAGTATAAAATAGGTCTCTGCTTATTTTATTAATAAATAATATTTTTTTAAAACATACACCAAAAATCTGTGAGAATACTTTTTTTATGTGGCAAGTACAAAGAGACCATTCCTTCTGTTGTAAAATCAAGTAAAACTATAGCTCCATGTTTAATGAAAAGAATGTTTTGGTTCCATTGCAAAAAGATTTCATACAGAAAATTTATGATATATATTTTTGAACATAGGCATAATTTTCCATTTTTCCTTCTTGGACATGTGTATAGAGGAAGCAGTCTGGATATCAGTTTCCTTACAGTGCTGTCTGCTAGTATGCAGTATAGCAATAGCAGTTAGACTTATATACCGCTTCATAGGGCTTTCAGCCCTCTCTAAGCGCTTTACAGAGTCAGCATATCGCCCCCACAGTCTGGGTCCTCATTTCACTTACCTCGGAAGGATGGAAGGCTGAGTTAACCTTGAGCCGGTGAGATTAGAACCGCTGAACTGCAGATAACAGTCAGCTGTAGTGGCCTTCAGTACTGCACCCTAACCACTGCACCACCTTGGCTCCCTATCATAGATCGCTTGCCTAGACCAATACCAAATAAATTGGGTGTCAAACTTGCATTGTCACAACAGCGTCATGTGGCGTATCACGACTTTTTCCCCCTTTGCTAACCTGGGCATATGCGTGGCTAGCACATGACGCATCCATCCCATGGGCCGCAAGTTTAACAGCCCTGAAAAAGATAAATAGAAGGCAAACACCAAAAGTGCCTTACATACTCCTGTACGTATATTTGTATGGCAGGAGAGAGAAGCAACACTATTGAGCTCCACAGAACATCCTTTTACACACTCCGTCTCCAAAAGTTACATCAATAATTTATATTAGCTTATTTGTTTGAAATCTAAGCAAAGAACAAAAGCAAAGCAAAGTAAGACTGGAATAATGTAGGTAGCATTCTAGCCTGTGGGTATCCAATGGCTCAATTCACCTATCAGCTGTTGATTAATAAAAACTGGCCATGTGGATGAGTGGGTCTTTAGCAGAAGTGTAGGAATTTTGAGAGAAGGGGAAAACAAGATACAGTAGTTTTTCTGGCATTGCTTTATCTCTTATGTTTATTTAGCAATTAAAGCAACATCTTGTGTCAGAAAGGTTTAATTATGAAAAGGCTGTTTCAGAATTGCTGATTCTGAAGTTTGATATGCAGTTTTGGCATAGAACAACCAGAAATCGAAAAGAAATCCATCCCTATAGAATAATTAAACTTAACAATATATTCCAATATTTACTTAATAAAATTATAGTGTCTAATCTACCAATTGACTCCAAATAATTTCCAGATGATGATTGGAATCATTTTTTATAAAAAAGCTATGCAATCAAAATGGATTAGCTATCAATATGAAGGTGCAAATCTGTATAATTGGCATAGATTATTACAGTACTTGAAATTTCATTACAAATTTGGTTTCTTATGTATACGAATTTGGGCAGAAGTATTTTTTTAAATGAAGTATATTACTATATATACAGTATATATGATAGTGCTGTCTGTAGCTGTCACCTGTCAGTGGTTCATGCCTTACAAAATCATATTTTGGTATTGAATATAGGGATGGCAGTGTGCATGTGTGAAAATATTCATATTTTATCTTAGTACTGACTACTGTGTATATTATATGTACTAAGGAAGAAAATACCAAATTATTTGTACTAAATCTCTTCTGATACTTTTTTTTTCTAAAAAAAAAATCACAAGGAGGAGAAGGTAGAGTTTGGAAAGGAACAGGTCTCAGAGATAAATTGTTTAACCAATTGCCTTGAACCATTTTTTTCTCATGAAAATCACCCTAGTGATCAATTAACATTACAGAATGTGCTCATAAATGAAATGTATCGCTATGAAGACTTCTTTCTGAACTATATTAACATAATTTGGAAATACTGGTAGTGGATTCTGTTTTTATTCAAACAGTGATATTATTTTAGAAAATGCAAAGAATTGCTGAAGTTTAGCTATGACTCTGCATTTGAGGTTCTATAATTATTAAAATTGTTAAACTGAATCAGGAACAAGATTACTGGCCAAAATTCTTTGCCTCTCTCAATCATAAATGGAAGCCCAAATAAATGCATGGTTTTTTTAGTAGCATGTCCCACTGGCTGCATTCACAAAGTACACTTAACCTGTAACTGATTAGCTTCATTTTGGAATTTGTTGAATAGATTGAACCATGAATTGTCTAAATGAGTTTGGATACACATAATGCTAAGACACACAGAGACAAAACCTAAGCATTTTAGCATTACTGAAGCTTGTTGAGTTGTTCAAATGCATCTACTTTGTCTTCCTTACTTGATTAAGTTGTGTAAACATGCCCAATTAAATTAAATATTTTTCATCTTAGTTTAGTTTCACAACTGTAAAGGCACCCATAATTTTGCTATTGCCCAAGTAATGTAATGGATTTTTCATTTTCTTGACTCTTTGCAATGTTGGAGATTTAAGGCAATAGAACTCCCTGGTTCTTATTCTCCTGAACCTATTTTTTATGTCTCTTGTGTTTTCTGCTTTTTTAATTTTATTTTTGGAGGGGTGGGTTTGGGGATTGGACCATGAAGAAAACTCGCAAAACTTACCAGATGGTGCTCCAGAGTGGCTTTACTATTACTAAACAGTTAATGCACAACAAGGGTCACAATGTGAAAAAGAAAATGAAGAATCCCTGCTCCAAAATGAAGCCTTTTCTGATACTGGAAACAAAAAGCGCACTCAGTTTTATTGATGTAGTGATGTGTTTGTGTTAGTGGCCGCTTGAGCTGAACACCAATTTACAGTGTGACCTTCAATGAACCAGCATTTTTCTTAAAGGCTGCCTGGAGAGCCATGACAGATTACATCAGCCTAATTCGTTTCCAGATACGTTCAGCTCTTTCAAACAAAGGAGAACCCATGCACTACTTCCAAAGCTTTAAATGGTAAATTCACAACTAGACTTTCTGCTGTAAGTGCCATTATTTCTCTCAGTTGATCAGTCTTCAACATTCTTCAAGAAAGCTGGCCATCTGCCAGTTGTGTATGGAGAATGGAGACTTCAGACAAAATGAATGCAGAGGTCACTACAAATGCCTATGTTTATACACAAGTGTGCTGACCTACATTTATGCTTAAAATGTATGTTTTGGCATTCATAACTTTTAGAGATGCTTAAAATGAATTTTAAATGTGCAAAATGTGCCATTTTACTTTCTATACTGTATAAAGTATTTTAAATTTTAAAATACAAAAATATGCAGCATATAAACAATGAAAACAAAGGCATAGGCCAGGAATGGAGAATTCTATGGCTCATACAACTTAACCAAATACTAGAATTGAGTGCATTAAAAACATTCAAATGTTTGGACAAATAAAATCGTTTTTGTTTTGGTTCCTGAAAATAACAAAGCAGATGCCGGCTGCCCTTGGAGGTCACCCTTGTGAAGGCTTTCTAGAAGCTACTTGTTGGACCTCAGCATGATGGAAACCTGCAGCAAGGGATTTGATGTTAATTCTTACAGCATTTGTATG